CGACTAAGCCACCCAGGCGCCCCTATCTGCTCTTCACTCTTAACCGAAACTCATTTTAAGACTTTGGAAGAGTAAGCTAGCTTCGTTCCTTCTTTAATATTAGAAATCCCATATGTGCGTTAAGTTGGCTTTCCTTAAGCTATTTTTTTTTTTTCATTTTAGCGCTACTTTTGGAGTAAAACCAGAGAGAAAAGTCATTTCTCTGGATAGTCTTTCATTCAATAGGTATTTCTGAGGTCTTGCTGTGAGTCGGGCACCGCTCTGGGCACTGGGAATGCAAGGGTGAATATGAGGGCAAAGGTGCGTCCTGGGAGGGCTTACATTTTAGTGAAAGAAACAAAATAAACCTGGAACTGGGTGAGAACCATACATAAAATGAAAGGAATAAAAAAGCTATCAGGATAGAAGCTAGAGGGCTGGGTGAAGTGTACCGTAGCTACAAAGATGTTTTCACTCCTATCTTTGAATTGTGCCTTGCTCCCTTGCCAGTCAACCAGCAAACAACATCTTAATCTCAGTATGAAACTTTCCAGCATTTGGGAGCAGAGTTTTGACCTCATTTCTCAAGTTGTTCAATGTTTAGTGACAGATGTCCTCAAGGGAGGGTGTCTTTCTCAAGGACGTGAAAATCCAACTTGCACCACTTCTTGCACGAAAAGACAAAGTGATACATTACTGGAAAGCAGTGACCTCTTCGTTTTTTGTTTTTTCGTTTTGTTTTTTAAGCAATAACACTTGAGAGAAAAGTCACGATCACACAGTGGACCGAAAAAACCCGGGAAACTATGGTACTGAGAACTCCCTGAATGTCTGAGAATCTGGACAGCGGGATGTTAACCCAAAGTCGAAAGTAACTACGGACAGGCAGTTAAGGGTCCAGGGAAAAGTGTGAAGGAAATTAATCGACATTTCAAGAGTCATTGGTTTCACTTTTGCCTGTCTAGAAGAAGAAAGTTCAGGAAGGACAGGAAAGAGGTGGGGAAACAGCGCGGGGCTGAGTGAACAGGTACAGCTAGGGCTTCATGCCTAGAAGATCAAAAAGGAGTGAAAACTGGGAGAGCCCATGGCCTGAGAGCTGTGCTGGTGACTTGTCGGCAATGAGGACAGTAACACAAGGTACCGTAAAAGAAATGAACTCACTGGCTACGTAAAACTGCCACGTCGCCAGCTCATGACTGGTAGAACCCATCTCTCCAAGGGGCCAGAGGGGAGGCCAGCACAGCAGGAATCGTGAGACAGTAACGGGTGGCTATGGCAGCTGGAGTAGAGGCCAAGGGCCGGGCTTGGAAAGCCAGGGTGGCGGGGACCAGCCTGACACCACACAGAGACCAGTAAGCAGGTTCAAGAGAGGACAGGACACCAGGCACAGCGGCATGTATAATGCAAGTCGTCTCAGACAGGGGGTTCTCCCCAGCCCCAAGACTTTTGGCCTAAAACCCAACACTAAAGGGTGCCTGGGTGGCTCTGTTGGTTGAGCGTCCGACTTCGGCTCAGGTCATGATCTCTCACGGTTCGTGGGTTCGAGCCCCGCATCGGGCTCTGCGCTGGTGGCTCAGAGCGTGGAGCCTGCTTGGGATTCTGTCTCCCTCTCTCTCTGACCCTCCTCTGCTCATGCTCCAGCTCTCTGTCTCTCTCTCTCTCAAAAGTAAACACTAGACATTTTTTAAAAAATTAAACTAAAAACCAACGTTAAAAATGTTTCATAGGAGGTTTGATAATTCTGCAAATGAAAGGCAAAAAAAAAACAAAAACAAACAACCCAAACAAACTTGTGATCATATGAAAACAAATCCCACAAAGGCCATGAGGCTTCTAGTGTCTTCTTAAAAATACTCTCAAGGCAGGCTAACCTCTGAGAGATTTTCCTTGCATTATCCAAAGGTTTCCTGTTGTAACTTTGAGAGAAATTATAAATGTAACTTATGAAACAGGAAATCAAGACATTCCCTTGGAATTAGTATCAAAAGGTCTGATCTCAGGGACCCGACTGTAGGGATTCTGTTGTTTTTTGCTTTGCGTCTTATTTGTTTGTTGTCCAGGATTCTTTTGGGTCTTAAAGGAAAAAAAAAAGCTTCATTTTCAGCCAATAAGTGAGCACTTTATCATGTGCATTTTAGCCTCTTATTGAGTCAGACTATATAAAAAGCTGGCTTCGGATATCAACAAAGGCGAAACAGAAAAGACTCAGTACTTGAGATACAATCTCGGGCTTAAACATTCACTTACGAAAAACTATCTGGCTTTAAGAACAGTAAATGAGCTTTCCAGGTGGCTAAGCTACCTCAAAGTGGAGATGTATTTATTTTGATACTAAATATGGACGTTGTTTGGAAAAAGGATCGCAGTTACGCGAGGAAGCATCGCATTTTGGGGCGGAGGCCATCTCAACGTCTGCTGGACCATCTTTAAGGTAAAGATGGTTGGGTCAACCCTCGTTAGGGTGCCCCTTTACCTTGTCCCTTATTTAAATCAACAGACACTTGATCCAGGGCGCGGATCCAAACGGTCCCGCCGGTTGTCTAAGTCTATTCTTTCCATGACAAACTCCTCCAAGTGACTCCCTCGTAAACGGATGCAAACACTCCTCTCTCCAACTCTATTCATTCTCTCCCTCAGAGTGGGAAATGCCTTTCTCCGGGGGCGCTGGGCTAGGCGGACGATAGCAGGGTGACTTCCCAGAAGGGAGCTTTTTTTGTGCCCGAGCCACTGCCAGGCAACCTCCCTGAGCATCAACTGCCAAAACATCACGGTCCGAATAGGGGCGCCCGGGTCCCCCTCCCGTCCCGCCCCCGCCTAACGGCGTCCAGAAAGCAATTCTTTGCATGGGTGCCTCTTCACCATGATCCTGACTGGCAGCTCCGAGGATTAAACGCAGGTCCTTTATGCACATTAGCCCCCTGGAGTGTTGAACTCCAAAACCTCTATTTTCTCCCCGACCCTGTATCTCACAAAACCCCAGTTAGCCACTGTGGTACACAGCCTTTCTTCCACTCTGGGCTATCAAAAGAAAACAAAACAAAACACCAGCCCCTACAACAATGTGATGGACATGGTAATGACGGAGCGTTGGTAGGGTAGTGGGCAGACTCTGAGACTGGGAACCCACTTACTTCTTTATCATTAAAACTTCACATTCTCATCGGCAGAATCTTGCTCACAATGGCACAAATGAGCGACTGGCTGGACGAAAACCGCGTGCTCTGTGTGCGTGTATATATCTCTCTCCATTAAAACACGGCCCTCAAAACTGCTGAATGAAAATCGACACCAGTGCCTTCTTAATCAAGCAAAATTTCCTGCTTGGTGACTGCATTAAAAAAAAAAAAAAAAACTGACCATCTGGCCTCTCTGCTACTTAGGGTTTTTGCTCCCCACTTCCTGGTTATCTTTAGCAACGCGTTAGATTTTCACTTATAAATTATTTTTACCACGATGCGTTTCCTTCTGTGAACTAGAGGCCGAGTAGAAAGCATTGTTCTATTTCTAGGAAAATACTTCTCAGTTCTTAATGGCAGGTTTGAAAGGGGAAAAGAGTACTTGCAATAGGAAGATGGAAGTCAAATCAACGAGAGCATTAACTCCTCCTATTTCTTGAGACATAAACGTGTCTGCCGCCAACCTCTCTCTGTCTCTCTATGTATAGATGGAGAAAGAGAGAGAGAGAGACAGAGAGAGAGAAATAATTTAAATCCCAAAACAGAAAGCCACCTCCGCCCTGCTCATCCAAGGTGTTCTTTGTACTAAGCACTCTCCAAAAAAATAAGTCAGAAAGTGGAATTCGTTTCCGCACGGCAACGAAGACCATAATAAAAGTACAATCAAACTTCAATGAATTGAAATTCTCTGAAAATGGGAGAGTTCTGGTTAATTTAATTTTCTGGTTAACTGAACCTCAAATAGAAAACCTTTTTTTTAAAAAAAAAAAAAAACCTCGTTGAGAACGTTCCTAAAACGCTTGAGCCCGTTTTACTTGCATAACTACAAACGGGATGGAATTTAAAGGTTCTTAGGTAATTCCAAATTGCATTGTTTCTTGAGATCATCACTATAACGTCTTCTTCCTTTTACTCATAAATAGAGGAGATTTAAGAGACTGAGTTGAATGTAGGTTTGTACCCATGACCGTGAAGTTTTACATTAATCCACGACAGTGCCTTCTTCCTTGTATTTAACAATCTCTTGGGAAAGTACAATGTAGAAAACTGGTTAACACAGAGGCTTGGGTAGGTTGAAGTTTTCGTGTATTTACGTGTTAAAAGAAAGTGACAAAAATTCCCTCTACACCTCTTCAATGAGTGGAACTAGTGAATACTTTTAACTTTTTAAAAATACAGTTTCTTGTCAACGTTGGCTAACACATGGTGTGTACAGTGTGCTCTTGGTTTTGGGGGTAGATTCCCGTGATTCATCGCGTACACACCACACCCAGCGCTCGTCCCAACAAGTGCCCTCCTCCATGCCCATCACCCACTTTCCCCTCTCCCCTGCCCCCATCCCAGTGAACCCTTAAAAAAAATTCTTTTTAAATTTTTATTTATTTCTGAGAGAGAGGGAGAGAACAGCGGAAGGTCAGAGAGAGAGGGAGACACAGAATCCGAAACAGGCTCCAGGCTCTGAGCTGGCAGTCAGCACAGAGCCCGACGCGGGGCTCGAACCCACGAACCGCGAGATCATGACCCAAGCGAAAGTCGGATGCTTAACCGACTGAGCCACCCAGACGCCCTGTGAATACTTTTAATATACTGCTTCCCATCAATCTTATAAACACAAATTAAAGACCATGTAAATTCCTTCGATGTACAGATTTAAACTAACCAAGAAAACACTAGGATTTAGGTTTCACGGTAGAACATGATGGCAGCTCAAAACTGGACCCAAGTGTCCTCCTTCCACAATATGGCCACAGCCAGCCCAGCCCTCTCTTGGGTTCTATGTTCCAAGTTCCCACAGAACTCTGTACTGTGCCGCCTCAAGCTATCAAACAATAACACCGTATTGACTCAAAAGTACTGCCCAACAGTAAGAGCCCTCTAGTCTTAACATCAGGCTTCCTGCCCTTTGGGGAAGATTATTGTAGAAGGAATTCCTGCATTGGGTAGGAGACTGGAAACATGTCGGCTAGGGTCATTTCTGATTCCAAATACCTCACCATGTATGTGTGAAGATAAGATTGGGCCATTCACTCTCTAGGTAGAATCTAAGTAGAATGTCTTTGTCTCTCTCTCTCTCTTTCTCTCTCTCACAAACACACACACGCACATATACACATACCGTTTTTGATGGGGTGGGGAGTAAGGGGCATTGCAATGAACTCATCCTCAAAGAAGCACTAGAAAAATCTAATGTATACTGAGATCTTATTATTTGCCAGGAACTGTTAGCCACTGGGCACACAGTAGGATTTTCATAAAGATCTCTCTAAATGACTGAATGGAAGCGAAGGGATCAGCCATGGCTCACTCACGGACCTATACAAGATCTCCTTACAGGTAGCCTAATGCTACCAAACTCAGTGGCAGTGTTGCTGACTCTGAACAATGAGTATTTTCAAAACGATGCCGTGGTCACACCCTAAAAATAGGATTTTACTCTAAGGCATAAAGAGACCCATTTATGTATTAATGTTATCAACGAACAGGTCTTGGGCATGGATGTGGTCAGTGTATTTCGAGGATATGTAAATATCGAGTATATATGTTACATCTCAGAATCTACAATGTGGCACAGACCCTGCCCATGATCAGAACAATCAGGGCCTTTCTTCTGGCTCACTTCGTCCTTCCGTCTGTACTGTCTGCTCTCCTCTCAATTTCTTTTGCAGGTCTTGCCCCGAAGAAGGATAACGACACCCAAAGCACGGACACTTTTCTTCTCCTAAGGACCCCTTGGGGAATACAAGAGAGCGGAAGCCTTGGAGAGAGTGCTGCAGACTGTGTAAAGTGGGACACTCACAAGCAGTGTGAGGGGCCCGGGGCTGCTCTGCCACCAGCATCTGTCACCACAGTGATTCCCGGGTTGAGTGGGTGGCCAGGACATCCTTGGTCAAAGGTCTGGACAAGGAGCTCCATCCCATTTAGAACCACTCAAACCCCCTTCCGCCTCATTTGTAGAAGCAGCATCGGGAAGTGCTACAGATTGCCACCTGCTAGCTCAGCGAAGTCGCCCTCCCATTAAACCCTTAAACAGCTTCCTTAGAAAACAGCAAGAAGGTCTCATGTTGTATGACTAGGTTAACTATTACACTCTGGGGGACAGTGGGCTTATACTGATTCTTCACTCCACTAAACAAAGAATATCTATAACAGGAATTGTTAACTTAATGGAAATAATACTTACTTGCGGCGGGGCGGAGGGGGGGGGGGGTTGGGGACTCTTGGGCAAGAATAAAGCAGGCGTTAATATACCTAACAGGCAAATGTTTGACATGTAATGCCAACTCACGTAAGGCTTCCTTTGAACTTCCCTTCATGTGCCCACAGCTGACATGGTACAAATGGTACCTACCATTTGTCAGGCACTTTATATAAATTACGGACCCGAAAGAGTAGGCATCATTTTCTCCATTCTGGGCACGTGGGGAAACTGAGGCTCCAAGTTAGGGCACCTTGCCCAGGGCCACACAGCAGAGTCCAGGTGAGAACGTACTGCTCCCTCACAAGGAATTGGAAATTTCTGATGTACGAATGCAAAGAGAATTTGGATGCCGATAAGCGCTTCAACTACTTCTAAACTTTAATTAAAAAAACAAAACAGCTGGAGTCCCAGCGGTAGGGAGGCTCAGTCGGTTAAGCATCCGACTCTTGATTTTGGCTCAGATCATGAGCTCACGGTTCGTGAGTTCGAGCCCCACGTCGGCTCTGCGCTGTCAGCATGGAGCCTGCTTGGGATTCTCTCTCTCTCTCTCTCTCTCTCTCTCTCCCCCCCCTCCCCCTCCCCACTCGTTCTCTCTCAAAATAAATAAACTTAAAAAAAACCCACAACTAATAGTTAAGCACTGGTCATGTGTCTTTACCAAGAGCCATTCAGGAATTTCACCAGCTAAGCACCCCCCAGTCTCCTTTGGAAGGACTGACATCTGGACCATATTGGCAAGTGGGTGCTTTAAACACGAGAGAAAATTAGGAGAAAAACCTAAGACTGGGTTACTTCCACGGGTTCACTCACCAATATCTCCCCGAGTACTCTTTTTTGTTTTTTTGTTTTTGTTTTTTTTAAATATAACAAGCTTGTCGGCCACCCTTTTTACTCGGTGAACAATGGCTTGTGACCTCCCAGGTAGCAAATTCACAGGAGAAACATATCAGTTATAATTAATGTTTACTAGGATAAATGTAAATATTTAAAAACACACAACAGTTCCAAGCACATGTGATTTCCATTTTATTTTATGAAACACTAAACATCTACTTGTCCACCCCATTAATTATAAGCTGCTCTCAGCCCTGACCTGTATATAATTCCCTCTGACGTAAATTGGAACAAGGTGCCCAGAATGGAAGCAGCCTACACCCTAACTGGGCTACGAGATGTCAAGTTCCCAAACCTCTCAAAAGTGTAACCTGACATTTTTCTAAGATTAGAGGCGGTTTGTGAATTTAAAAAGAGGGCTTAAAGACTCACCACAGTTAAATCCTACAGTAACTCCTGAAATATCCAAAGTAAACAGGACTAAGAGGTCTCTTAGAAGAGAAGAAACAGCCAGAATTAAGAAGAACGCAACAGTACACTTTGAGGCATGAAGCCCTCTAGAGATCTAAAGGAGGCATGAATGGACCACGCGAAAAATTTCTCCTTTTGCTACACATGAATGATTGAGTTTATACTGCCTATTAATCTTAAATGTTGAAGGCAAAAAAAAAAAAAAAAGAGAGAGAGAGAGAGATTGGTTAACTTTTCTAATAGTATTTTTCTTGACACAATTATACTGTGTGTTCATTTATAACACTTCCCCCAAAAGCCAAATGCCTAGAAAAGAATCTGACCGCTAAGAAGCAGCATTCAGTCCATCGATCTTTCGAGTTATTTTTCTATCGTCTTATCCACCAAACTGGGATTATGCTTCACATTCTGTTTTGCAAGTTGCTATTTGAAATAGAACATAGTGGGTGATTTTTCACGTTCAAAGACCCTCGTGATTTCTCAGGATTAATCTTAAGTACCTTTTAGCACAACTAAAGTATTACTGTCGGGTGCCAAACCAAATAGACCGTACCAGTTGAAGATTTAATACATATTAAAACGGGAGCAATTTCTTTTTTCCCTTTACCAGCATGCACGGTCAATGAGGGCAATGCTGCCCTCAAGGGTGAGAAAAATTAGTTCTTGGTGGCAAAAAGTCTTACTCTTTTTATGCACGAAGCACAGACAGACGTAACTAGACATACGATAGAGCGCTAGTAAGAAAATTTTATGGGGGGAAGGGGCAATTAGGAAAAAAATGTTCGAAAAGGCTCCTTGAAGGATCACTGACGGAAACAGATTGCGAAACACAGCACTCCATCATCAGACTTGTAAACAGTAGACTTTACATCACCGGGACTCAAGGGATGAATTTTTCCATTTTAAACGTCTCATCCTTGAATGAATTCCAGCCTATCTCGGAGCTGGAGAAACCGAGTCTCCAGCGGCAGATCTATAGCGGAGCTTTTGTGCCACGCCACGGTTTCTATCTCCCGTGTTCTTACTAAAGACTCCACGGGGTGTGGGTAAGGGGGCACACGTTGGGTGCGACGATGCTCTGAAGACCGATGAAGAAACTGTCTCTGAACGGCCTTGAACTGCAGGTCAAGCTGGGGTAGCTCTTGCTCTGTGCTGCCCTCTAGCGCTGTCTGGGCCTCCGGGAGACCTCTTCCCGACCGCCTGAAGTCGCTCCAAACCCGCGGACCATCTGCCCTCCAGTGTCTCTGGCATCAACACGCGGGAGGTGGGCACCGCCAGAAAAGAAGGCCCAAAGGCACACATTTCCCTGCAGGAAGAAGCAAGCGCCAGGAGGAAGGAAAAGCCATGGAGTTTCTCACGCGCCCACCCTGGCGGGGAGAGCGGACCGACTGCCCACAAAGCTGCCGTCATCAGAGGCGACACGAGTCACAAAGGAGCAAGGCAGGAGCCGGAAACCTTGCGCACTTTCTGTGGTAGGCAGGACTTCTAAAGGGCCCACCCCACGAGGTCTGCCCCAACCCCCAGAGCCTATGGGTGGGAGGCATCACTCCGCCCACCGCGTTTTCTGCAACAGCACAGCTGACGTCAGCGGAGGGAGAAGAGGCAGTCGGGCCGGACCCGAGCACCGGGGCCCTTAAGAGAGACAGCTTTCTCCTCTTCTGATGGCACAAGAGGAATTTAGAGAGATCACGGGGGCCACATGAGAAGAAGGGAGAGGAGACTCAGCCGACAGCGAGCAAGGAAATAGCGAGTTCAGTCCCCCAACCGCAAGAAAATGAATCTCCCAACACCAGGTGTGAGGCTGGCAGCATCTTGGTTCCCCCGGGCCTTGTGACCAGCGCCTACCCTGGCCAACACGCTGACTTCAGCTTCCTGCGACCCTGAGCAGAGAAGACAGCGCGCTACCCAGACCTGTGACCTACAGCGCCACGAGCTAATAAATGGATGCGCTTTTAATGTGTACGTGTGTGGCGGCCCGTTATGCAGCAACAGTAACGAACACACCTTCCCTTTCCTACTTTACAATCCTATCAGTTACACCAATGCAGGACATCCTGGCAATGCCCGGCTCCCAGGTCACAGAGCCGGGGAGGGTGGCAGTCCGTTCAAATAAAGTTTCCAGTCTCGGGCCTCTCACCGGCCTCTGTGACCCTTTGAGAATCTACGGTCGATCCTGCCAGTCAAGTCCCAGCTCTTGACCCCTGCTCTGATCAATGGTCCCTCGGGAGGACTGTCATCACCTCCTACTTAACGAGCAAGTTCTCGGTGCCCTCCGCCGCCTGGTTTACTTGGTGCCGAGCGACTGCTCCAGCCCAGGCATCCATCTGATGTATTTCACTCAGATCGTTCTTTACCTGCTAAGAGCTCTGAATGCTGCTGCAGCTTCTTTGGGGCTTCATTTTGCTATAAGGGGCTGAGCAAAGAACCGTGTAAGAAAATAAGTGGACGTCGGAATACCCTGCCCTGCCTTAATTTTCCTAACTCTTCTGTAGGGAAAACAGAAGCAGCGATTGCTAAATCATATGCTAAGGTGCAAAGAGAAGGAAGGGGATGAGGCATCAGATGTGGCTGAACAGGAAGCCTACCCAGGATTTTATCGCCTCCGGTACCTGCTGTCCATTTTACATCTTTCTAGGCCCCGTTCCCCTCTTTCAGAAGAGAGTGGTGGAAATATTTACCTCACAGAGCTCCAAGTAGGAATGAAAACGGTAAAACGCCCATATAACAGAAACCAAAGCACACGGACACTTTAAGTATCACCGCAAGGGGCGCCTGGGTGGCTCAGTCGGTTAAGTGGCCGACTTCGGCTCGGGTCATGATCTCGCGGTCCCTGAGTTTGAGCCCCGCGTCGGGCTCTGTGCTGACAGCTCAGAGCCTGGAGCTGCTTCGGATCCTGTGTCTCCCTCTCTATCTCTCTCTGCCCTTCCCTCACGCTCTGTCTCTCTTGCTCTAACAGATTAAAAAAGAAAAAGTATCAGCGTGAGAAGAATTGAGGTAATAGTCTGTATACAATGCTTTCACCTTTTAAGAGGTAACTCTGTAAATAATCTCTTTATCTCTTCTGTTATCACCAGAAAAAAAAGCCACAGTTAACCTTCTTTAAGGCAGACTTTAGCCCTGACAAACTGAGCACTGTAGGGCGCGGAGACTGATTCAGGCCCAAAAAATGAGTTCCAGAGTAAAGCTGACGCTAAAAACTACGGTGAGCTCGACATTTGAGTTCCACCCCCTGAATTCTCTTCTTTACGATCCGAGTAAATATAGATCCCATTTTTCTTCGAATTAAGAGATCTGAATACTTCCATTACAGAATTGAAGGGGAGGTCTGGGGGCCTCCCCCAAATCTCCATGTTCCTCAACTTTTGACTTGCGCTCAAATCAGAAAATAAGCCCCCAAAGTGTAGCATAAAATGGCCCACATATCCCCAAGGTTTTCTTCCTTTTGCATTTCCGGGTCATTTCCCAGGGAGTATTTCCAGGGTCCTAGCAGCCACCCAGGATCCTGTGTGAGTCATGAACAGTGCTCACTCCCGGACTGGAATGTTGGGGACATTTACTTCCA